TGTAATAGGTATTTCTTTTCAAGTAAAAAAGATAGGTAGATAGAGATAGTCAAGATTGATTTTTAGTTCAGTTTTACAAACACCCTGTTTAGCTAGAGCATCGGCTATGTTATGTAGTATGTTGTTTGAGTGTAATTTAACTTTATGAGTAGTGTAGTTAATGTTTTTGTGTTTGATTAAATAATTTAAAATATGAATTATATCCCAATTATTTTGTTTAGTTTGGGAATTTTGGTTGTAAGATATTACATTCATAAGGGTTTGAATAGTAGATAAATTATCAAGATGAATATGGATTTGGTAATTAGTAGATAGGATGAGGAATAGAGGAATGAGTGCTGCTAGTTCTGCTCATGTGGAGTTAGGTGCATGAGTTATAAAGGCATTAAATTTGATCTGTATATCATTTTCGAGAATCCAGCCAATGTTTGTAGATGTATTACATGTTTGTGAATTGAGTATAGAGGCATCTGTATAAAAATGTAAATTAGTTGGATCAAGAAGTAGTATTTTTTGATGAAGATTTATGAGTTGATTTTGATATATGGAGTTTGGTATTATATTTTGTATTTGGATAATTTCTAAAGAGGGTAATAAAAAAGATAGTAGGAGTTATGGAGCAGGTTTGTATAACTCTGCATGAATATTTTGAAATGCTTGGATTTCTTGGTTATTTATAATGAGTTCAAAATATTGTATTCTTTTTTGAGTTTTGCATTTTAGGTTGATTGTTTGGTTGTAATTTATTTGAAGCATTGTGGATGTAAAGGAGATATGAGTTGTGTTAGTCATTGAATTGATAATTTGGTATTTTTGAAAGAGAATTTGGGAGTTGAATATATTTGTTATTTTGCCAATATGTCAATTAGAAGATGAGGTATAGAGTGTCTATGTGTTTTTATAACTGTAAGATTGAGGTGTAATGAGATTAAGTGTATTTAGAAATGGGTTGATAGATTGAAGTTGAAGATTAGGCCATATTTGTAAGATAGGAAAAGTAGATTTGATTTGAGAGTGTTTTAAACTAGCTTGGAATAGGACCTCGAGGAGATTTAAGAGTTCTAAGGTATATGTTTTTCCAGGAAAGTAAATAAAGATTATTAGCTGTAAATAATTGTTCAAGAAAGAGTATTTTGTTGTTTTTTAAACTTGAGGTTGTTGAGTTTTTTGGAGATGTAATGAAGTTGTAAATATTGTTTAGTTGGTTAATTTGTTTATAAAATATTAATTGATTTAAGTGGATGTTATTAATAAAAATATTATTTTTGTATAAGTAATAAAGTTGGGATATTATAGTAAAATTAATAGTTTTCTTATAATTTTTTAGAATTGTATTTTGAGTTAGTTTCTGCAATTTTGGTTTCAGTTAACTGATTATGTATGGATTATTTTGAAGACAATATTCTTCTATTAAGAGTTTCTTTTCTGGATTATTAAAGTCTTGGATATTATAAGTTGTAATATTTAAGTTAAGTGAAGAGTCAGATAAGTGGTTTGTATAAAGTCTTGGTAAAGGTAGTGGTAATAAAAAAATAGGAAGAGATAAAGGTTATTGAGATGTTATTGGAGATATAGAAGATAAGTTCAGTATTAATGTTGTAGTATTTTGATTTGTTAAGTTGAAAAAATCATCTTCTGTTGTATATGATTTTAGTAAGATATTTGGGTAATTTCAAATAGCTTGAAATGGTAAAATAAAATGATTAGATGAAGGTTTAGATTCTGATAGAAGGTAGATATGGGCTTCACTATAATTATTTTTGATAGAGATAGTTAAAGTATAGCCACAAGCATTGTTTGGTAAATAGTCAAAACTATAAATATATTATAAAAAAAAAATAATTGTTTGTAAATGTGAGAGTAATAGAAAGTGATTATAGGCTAGAAATTTATTGTAACAAGTATGAAGTTGTATGGAACCAAAATGTTCATTAGCAATAACAGTATCATCATAATCAGATAAAATAGTTTTAACTAATTGTAGATAAGTGTAGTTTACAGCATTATCTTCAAGAATAAGTTTGGTATATTGTGTATTATTAGGTGTTAGAGAATATTTAGAAGTAATAGGTATTGATAAATAGAATCTATATCCAGATTGATGTAAGATAAAGTGATCAGATAGGGGTTCTGGTTCATTTGATAAGTGTATTAAGCACTCACTATAGTCTAGTTTGATTGATATTGCTAATGTAAAGTTATAAAGATTAAGTAGTATGTAATTGTAAGAATGTATATATTCAAGAAAGGAATAAAGTGTTTGTGGATATGGAAGTAGAGATAGGTCTTGATGGGCTAACCATTTATTATAGCATGAATCTGGATTAAGTAGTGTATTGTTTAATGGGTCTTGTGATATTTCTTTGAAGTATAATGATGCAATGATGATTAAGAAAATAAAAAGTTTCTCTGTAGATTCACTCATTATATACTCAGCTCTCATAGCTGCAAAGAGTGCTATAGCCTGTCTGTCAAGTTATATACTTATCTTATTTACTCTTTTTATATATAATAGTAAAGATCCAAATCTTTACAAAGTTAAATAGCTTTAAATTTATAATTTTCTTGTCATCTTCTTATTGCTTCTGCTTTTAAGCTAGTAAGTTAACAATTAAACTTACAAAATTAAATCATATTTTGAATTTGAATTAAATATTTAAAATTATTTAATTAAATTTTTATTTAATTTAATTAAATAATTTAAATATTTGATTCAAATTAATTTTGTGAAATATTATTAAAAACATCAATTTGGTCTTCTAAGTTTAAAAAATATATATTAACTATAAATTATAATAAAATCTTTATAAATGCATTCTGCATACTCTCTTTAAATATATATTCAAATTTAAGCCCAACTATATAAATAACTTTTATAAATATGCACTTAAATTTGGGCTCCAACTATATAAATAATCTTTATAAATGCACTTTTTCTTATTGATCTTTAAGTGCATGTTGTTAATGTTTTATTCTAAGCATATGCATTTATAAAGGTTTTATTATAATATACTTTAGAATTATAATAAAATAAATTCAACTTAACTAATTAATATAACTTAAATAAAAAAATAGTAAAATAAGATCTTTGTGAATTCTAAATCATAAATAAAAATTTTTTTAACTTAATAAAAATAAACTTATCAAATTATAGTAAAACATTCATAAGTATATTCTTTAAATATTATTTTCTAAATATATGTTCAAATTTAAGAACAATTATATAAATAACTTATAAATACATTTTTCTTATTATTCTTTAAGTATATATTATTAAGATTTGATTCCAAGCATATGCATTTATAAAAGTTTTACTGTAGATTAAAAGTAACTTAGAGAGTTTTTAAGTATTATTTTTAATAAGTTTACTAAATAGTCTAATTAGTTATAAAAAAAAAACAATTATAATTATCATTTAAGTTAAAAAAAAATAATACTATGATTATTTATTTTTTTAAAATCATTGATTTAAAATTTATATTTCTTACTAAGTTTATAACAAAATTATTAAAACACATCTTGGCTACTAGCAAATTATATTAAAAAAGCTTATTCTTAATTTACTAAAAAATAGCATTTATTTTTTAAATGCTATTGTATTCTTTTATTTTAATACTAATAATTCTATACTGACCTTGATAATTTTGTTTTTGATTTGTATAAAATTTTATATAGTTAAATTTTTTAGTAAATTTGTTTTAAATCTTGCTAAATATAAATAATGCAAGCAATAATTTAATATTAACTAATTTTAAAAATTTTATAAACAATTTAAACTGTATAAATTTAAAAATCTATTTGTATATACCTATTAGTAAAGTGACTTACAAGTTTAAAATGTATTTTTTGTATAAACATGCAAAAAAAATTTTTTAAACAATAATATAAACTACATATTACCTAGTTATAAGTATAATTAGATCATACCAATTTTTTAAACATTAAGGCTAAAATTAAAAAAAGCATAGTAATTACTTCATTTAATACTGAAAAAAATGCACATAATTATAATGTTATAAAAATAGAACAAATTTATTAGATAAATTTATTTCTTTGTTATTGATTTAATCTGCATCAATAAAAATAAAACAAATCTATTAGATAAATTTATTCTTTTTTTATTGACTTAATTTGTATTTAGAATCTGGTTTGGAATCTGTCTCAGAACTTGTTCAGATTTGATTATTTTACTTGGAAATTTGTATAATTCAACACAAAAACTCAATTGTTTCAAAATTGTAATTTACCCAATTTGATCTTTTTTTATTGACCTCCTCTTATATATATAAAAATCTTAATAAAAATAACTAGCAAAATTATTTATTAATTTTCTAAATGTTAATTTTTTATATTAAAAATTTTGAACCAATATAAGTAAGTATTTAGAATTTCTTGATTAACTTATATATTAAAGATGTTTTAGTAATATAGTAAAAAATTACAGTACTAGGAATTTAAATATATAAGTAGTTAGATTACAAATATAATAACTAATTTAACACTTGTATAGACAAACTACTTAAATTAGACATCAAAAGTGTATGTAACTTGTTGTACTCTCTAATGTAAAGATGGCTTTTTTGAAACTTTGCTATGAATCTCTATATTTTATAATACTAAATAAAAACCTTAGTTTCTAAGTAGCTAGTTTAATATAAAAAAAAATTCAAAATAATGTTTATACAAAATTTATTAATTAACTCACGTAACAAAAAACATATGAACACATCGGGCTTTAACCATCCCCTAATCAAAAACATATGAAAGCACTGGCTTTAGCCATTTCCCCTTTTTTTTGGATTTAAAAATTAAAAAATTAATTCCAGCAAAAATTATGTATAATACGGATCAGAATTTTGTCGATCACAGCCGTTAGCCAATCAGAATCAAGGATCATCCGCGTACCAAACTAGGTTTGTTTAGGTCACAAATTTCTAATTGCATTTTTTGAGTCTTCTACGTACTAGGTCATCAAATTTTATTAGCGTTAGCTCTTAAAAATGTCTTTGAAGAATTCAACTTATTCCACGCGCAACATTAGATACTTACGCATATCGGAGAAGCAGGTGCTACCATTGATACTTTATCTAAAGCCAGAACATATTAATTGGTTCAATGATATTATATTTCAAGTAAGTCTCAAAATAGTATCGAGATAGTATTATATGGGGGTGAGTCAATAGAAATCAAGCAAATTGTTTTTATTAAAATTTTTTTGAAACTTTAAACAACAATAATTCAATAAAAACTTAATCAAATTTAATAAAAATTTTTTTAAATGAATTCTACAAATTTGTAGCATTTATTTCAAAAAAGTTTTATAAAATTTGATAAAGTTTTAGTTAAGTTATCATTGTTTAAAGTTTCAAAAAAATTTACTTAAAAAAAATTTGCTTGATTTCTATTGACTCAACCCCATATGTTTAACTTTCTATTCATGATAATTGGTTGATTTGTCATATGTAGGAAGTTTTATCAGCGTTACAAAAATTAATACCAAAAAAGTTTTCTCGAGAAAAGAAGAAATTTGGGTCTGATATTTATCGTGAAAGTAAGTTACTAATATTTCGTATTAGATAATCGTAAAATATATTTACATATTTGACGAGATCTATTTTAAATAGCAAGGTTTCAATTTGCGTATTATTTCAAATATACAGATGTGAGACATTCTGTGCTGGAGAAGGTTGTTACTTTGAATTGTTCAAGCCTTCAGCATCTATCGCGATTTAGTGACTTGTTTTTTTTTGTAGAATAAAAAATATATATTTCCGTCCGAAAAGTCAACATTATCCGAAGAGGATGAATCTTCTCAAAATTTACATGACAGCTTTACAAATGAAAAGGAGGAAGATGAAAAACCCACTTTGCAAGTAACTTATAAAGGATTCAATATATTTTATAAATCATTAATAGTTATAGTGGAACCACCTGGACAAATCATTGAGTTTGGAGACAATGTAAAAGTTGCTAGTGCAATGACCATTGATGATTATCTTGGGCAAAATGATTCTGATACAGATGTTGGGTCTAATAATGACGATTAAAAAGATTGTATTATTGATTCCTCCCAGTCAGGGCCACCGAACGTTGATAACAAAATAGCTGGTGAAACTAGCAAATTTAGCAAAGTAAAATTTAGATAATCATCATAAAATTTTTAAACTTTCTTGCCAATTGTAAAGTATTGGTAACTTGAACAGAATAATAGTTTAGGTAGTTCTAATAAAAATTGGTTCTTTTTTTAATTAATATAAGTAGAATGCCAAGTTATATTTTATAAATGGACTGAAAGTATGTCTAATCAAGTATTAATTTTAACGATAGTGACAGCCATAATAACCTGATGAATATGTTCTTGTTTTTTTTTTGAGTTAATACTTGCTATTTTTTTTGAAAATTCTATATAGAAAGTCAATAAGTTTAAATTTTTCGAAGATATCTATCTATTCATTCATAATGTAAATTAATTGCCATTTTAATTTGAATATTTTTTAGATATATGAATCAATTTTTAGTAGTGACTGCTTGTTTAAAGTAAAAGTATTAGAGAAAGAATTAGAGAGAATTGTTGAAAAAATTAATTAAATGCGTACAAAAGTTGTTTCCCAATTATCTTATTTTGGGATTTTGTAAAATCTCAATACAGATATCAAAATCTTTAGGTGTTATTAGCGTTAGCTGCAAAGTTATTTGAAAAGTGATACAGTCATCCCCCTCTATAATCACACAAATGGGTGCACACAAATATGGTGATTATAGAGGGGTGTGATTGTATATGGGTTCATCCGCACTATTACATGACATTTATCCAATCAGCGTCGTTTTTCTTAATTAACTAAAAAGTGAAAAAACCCTGTAAGTGAATATTAAAGTTATCACTGTAGAGGACTTATTACATTAAAATGATGTAATAAATCCGTTACAGTAATAAATTTTAATATTCGCTTAGCAGGTTTTCGCTCAAATGTAAAAAAAAAAATACAATAAGTGATACTCTAACCAATCTTAGCAAACTCCAAGCTTAAATAAATTCAAACTCTAACTTAATTGTAGTAAACTCTGAATATAAGAACTTTAAAAATAATGGATCCAAAATTTTAAATTTATAACTGATATAAAAGTGTTATGATCTAAAATGTAGTAATTATATAACAAACTTTTTTTAATTCCAAACTGCCAGTTCATTATAGAAAATTTAAATTATATATGATTATACACAATTTTAGACATTTCTTATTTGTAAAGATAATTATTGAACTCGATTATAGTAGCAAATCAAAATATTTATTAAACTCATTTAAAATTTAAAACCACCAATATTAACAAAAATATTTGAATAATTTTTGTCTAATACTGTATTAAATTAATTTGATTATTAAATAAGAACATATTTAAATAGTTTAATAAAAGTTTGCTGAACTTACTTTTAAATAAAAATATATGAAGAGTTATATATATTAAATAAGCTAATATTCAAAATAAATAAAAATAAATAAGAATCATTATATATAAAAAAGTTATTGTACTTAACTAATCAAAATTAAATGATAGAAATTATTGTTTAAACTCTGAATTGACTAAATTTGTGAAATGAATAAAAAAGTGAATAAAAAACTATTTACACTAGTATTGAAAATCTTGTTTTTATGAGAATATATAGTAAATATAAATTGAATTAACTTACTATAATAACAGAGATGATAAGTCATTAGTATTGAACAAATATAAAGATATGAATACTATAAAATAAGAAAAATTAATTAAATTACCAAAGATGAATAATATAAAAAACCACTTGTAACCTGAATTAGTTATTGTATAATTTGTAAAATTATAAGTAAATAAAAAGAATTGTATGAGCATTTAAAATAATAAGAATGTGAATTAAATTTTAACTTATTAAAAATAAGTTATATATATAGTATATTTTGTATATTTAAAAATTATTTTAATCAAATAAATATTTTATTTAGCAGCCATTAAATTCTAAGCCAACAATAAGTATAAATACTGAAAAATTAATAGTTAGAGGAACTACTAAAGTATTAAACCAATATTAAAAATAATTAGAATTACTTGGTATTTAAATAAATCAATAATCAATTAAATAATAAATATTGAATTGAGCAAACTTACTAAAGCAAGCAGATACAAAGAACTAATATACAAAAAAAAAATACAGTATAGTAAAATAAATAATAAATAAATAAATAAAATAAATAAGAATAGAGTTAGATAATATAATATAAATGAATTGATAAACTTATTAAGTATAAATGATATGAAAAACTATTTGCACTCTGAACTAATATTTTATAAATAAAAAATAAGAATATATACAGTATATATAGTACAAACCAAGTTAGAAATATAAATTATTATATATTTAAACTTACTAAAAGTATATTGTATAGATGAACTATTTCTAACTAGTATAAGATTGTTTATACATTTTAATAAATAATTATAAATCGAATTAAATACTGTAAATATATAGTTATTTACCAAAAATTAATAACATAGTTAAATAAAAAATAAATATAGTAATAAAAAAAACTATTTAAGTGAAATAAATAAGTAGACAATTACAGTAGAACTTATTAAAAATAAACATAAAGAATCATATGTACAGTTAAACCTCTCTAAATATAATATGATGAGATCATATATAAAAATTTAGCAAAAAATATATTTAGAGAGGTATTGCATTTAGGAAAATAAAAATCTATAGGTTTAATATATATAAGTTGGATTCAAAAGAAGATGTGCATTAGAGAGGTTTTTTATAGATATGTATTTAAAGGAATAGCATTTAGAAGGGTCTAACTGTACTATAAATAAAAAAAATTATTAATAATTAGGAAATATACCAAAAAATCATTCAAAAAGTAATTGTTCTAAATTTTTTTAATACTACCTTTTTAATTTGTTTTTTAAATATAAAAAATCCATAATAGAACTTTGCTTTTTTGATTTTATATTCTTATGTCTTATTATAGATAAATATTTTTGAAAAACATCTAAATTTTCTGATTTAAAATTTTAATCTATTTGTTGTTCAAAAAACTCTAAAAATTTTTTTATATCTACTAATCCTTTTGAAGCTGAAATTGTTAAAAGCTCTTTATTTGAATTATTTAAATTATGTTCTTTATACTACTGTTTCACTATTATTAACTTAACAATTTCAGTATCATTTAATTTTTTCACAATAGAAATATACAAGTTATTAAGTTTAAGATACTTGTTAACCTGGAACAGAACTAATAAGTCCAAATTAGCAACTGGTAATTCAATATTATCATTTTCTTATTTAATAAAAGTATTATAAGAGCTTGTTATATATTGTATTTCTTTATAATTAATAGAGAGCAAGATTCTAGTTTTTTTTTAACAATTCATTATTGTTATTTCACTAACTTTATTTCAAGACTCTGCAATATAGTAAATTGTATCTTTAATAATAAGTTTTTTTTTTAAATTTTTTTTTTTAGTATTAAGGTAACCTCTTTGGTCTTTTGACTTTTATTAATCACTTATCAGTATTGTGGTTCAATGAACCACTACAGAAGAGCGTACAATTGGCTACATGTGTAACTTTTCTATATTACCTATTTAAGAAGTCCACCTGAAGGTTTCCTACCAATTGCTATATCTAATATCTCTACTTGGATGTTCTACTTTAAACCTTCTGAAACCTATAACTTGTATTAACATTACTGGTCATCTCAGATGTACCAGATCATCATCCTCAACCTTAGGACTAATTTATTCTCGAGATAAACCCTCTAGAGCCTTCTGTACCTATTTTTACAGCTGACCTAGATATTGCTATAGCAGAACCAAACTTGCGGTTAGAGCTGAGCATTAAACCATTATGCTCTTGTAGAGTTCACACAAACCTAGCATCTACTTCATAGCATATCCGAAATATTTTAGTATACCCCTGCCAATTTACCAAACTCCCAATCCAGATAGCCCAGTAGAACTTACAATCAGTTCATTGGTATATCAGGTTGGCCTAATATCCTTTTCCTCTAGCTTGATTCAGTGGCCTGGTTAGTAATACTCTCTATCTAGAGGTTTTTGTCTATCTGGCTACTTCGACCTTAGTATCCATTTCATAAGGTTAGCCTTTACAGTAGGGCCATCGAAAATCTGGCTACCTCTCTACTCGGGTCTTCCCAAATGGACTTCTTGTTACCCAATTTCAACAGATTTACATGACCACAAGGACTTATTTAGTGTTTGCACTACCTATTGCCAGTTTGCATTTCTTTATGTAACCACAACCTTGTCCCAAAGAACAATGTCATGTGACCTGTTACATGAATGCCCCATGACCTATCAGTCATGCTGATGTGACTGCCATTACAGGTATCCTAACCCAATCATTAGTAACAGTTGCCATAATATGAATATTATATAAGTGATTATTCAAATTTTCACCATTGATAGGATTTGAACACCCAACCTACTACTTGGAGGGTTAACAACCTGACCACTTTACTAGGTCGCCACACTCTTTGTTTTGTGTTAATTAATTAAGAGCTTAAAAAGAAATAATTATAAAATGATTGTTAATAAATTGAACCAGTAAAATATAGTATTTTAAAATATGTTTGAGGTTCAGATTTGAAGAAAGTAAGGATAAAGAAACAAATTTTTAGAAAATTTTAAAAAAAGTAGCTATTTAAAGTTTTTTGCTTATAAAATAATCAATTTTTAACTAGTTTAAATAAAACTTATATCAAAATAAAGTTTAAAATAAGCTAGACAACTTTGTTTAAAAGAGCAAGACAAGTTTTTTAGACCAAATTTGAGTATAAGCAGTTTAAGTATATTTTAACAAAGAGTTAATTAGTTAATTTAATATTTAAACTATTGATATGAATTTTTACAAATATATGTAAATTTAAATAAAGAACAATTTTATTTAGTTTTTAAAATATATTTAAATATAAATTGTTAAAAAAAATTAAATTTTCTTTAGCAGTGTTTTGGTACAATTAATTATTAGAAAGAGTTGGCAATTTGTATTCTG